AAAAAACTGAGTCGAAAAGTCCTTTACCATTTTGCAATTTTCGTAATAGTTAACAAGATATTAATTACAAAAAATCGCTGAATATTGATTTTCAATAATTTTTTACTGAAATACTATCAACTTTATAGAAAAACTGCTAGAGATAAAAATTGTTTATTTTCTTCTCATAAAGTTATGAGAATTTTTTCAGAATTTTTTAATACCGTATTTTTTCATGTTGGTAAAAATAAGAAAATGCAATATTAAAAAGTTTATTAAAAATTCTAAAAAAATTCTTAGAGTTTTATGAGAAGAAAATAAATAATTTTTGTCTGTTGCAGTTTTTCTGTAAAGTTGATAGTATTTGAGTAAAAAATTATTGAAAACCAATATTCAGCGATTTTTTGTAATTAATATCTTGTTAACTATTGCGAAAATTGCAAAATGGTAGAGGACTTTTCGACTCAGTTTTTTATTAGGAATAGCATTGTATGATTAGTGTACGTTATTTCATCCTGTATATATAAATAAAGGAATGCTTACTATTCCCTAAGATCCTTCCATTTGTTTCTAATGTAATCAAACGTGAGTGACTGTCCTGCAATGTTGCTGGCAACCGATTCAAAAACTTGAGTAGCATCCTGTTTTCTGATTCCCGAATTTTCCGTCACAGCCCAATCTAAATATCGATTCAACAACCATATCTCTCTTGTGCAGGATAATGTCTGCAAAAGACGATCCTTCTCCGATCCAATGTTGGCTGCTAAATACCGTTGCCAAGCGAATTTCCACTCGCTTTGTCCACCCACGCGAATGGCCGTACAATAAACCACGCTCCTCAAGTTCGGTGGAATCCTAAACACAAAATTTGTAATAAATAAATTGCTTTATTACATATTTTCTAAAAATAGCGAAAAAATTAGTATTGCAATTAATATATTTAGCATAAGCAGGATGAATCAAACAACTTAGAACTGCGATCATGTGCATTGAAAAATGTAACAGTGTGTACCAACAGATAATTCTGTTTTAAATTATATGATATGTGATATTTCTATTTACGGATTATTAATATCTGGATTAGGAGTGTTACGCCAATATTTGAAGTATTGCACAGCTTTCATAACGCAATTCTCATGGTCGAGATAACATGCCCAATTTAAAATATTAATTCGATTGAAGACTGTCATCTGAGGATCTTCCAGTTTATCAATGAAACCGACTTGCTTGTATGCATTATTAAGTAGCTTTAACATGTGCAACTGAAAGGTATTAAACAATATTAAAGATTAGAATTAATAAGGTATTATACATACCTATATATTTTATACTAATGTCATGAAACAAATTAAACAATCATTGAAATTTGTTTCTCACAGATATCTATTACTCTTGATCGACGATAATTTACCCTAAATTTATCGTAACCTCGTGATTTGATTAACATATTATTGAGGTAACTTAGGGACCGGAAAGCTGCTTTCCAGGGCAAGTATTCGGTTTCATGGGCCATATAAGACGTGACATTGAAAGCAATATCATAATCGAGTTTGCCAGCTCTAGCCAAGTTAAGAGCGTCATCGACCAATTGTGCTCGGTTAATCACCGAAATATTTTTGAAGTTTTTAATATTATTCAATTGTTTTATTATCAGCTTCCAGTTTGTCGTGTCATAATTCACTCTGTAATATCCTATCACATAAGCACAATATTGAATATTATCATATTTTTTCTTCATATTTCAAATAATAAATAATTCTATCACCTTTTAAAATATTTTATCGGAAGTATATTTTTTTTCTAAAAGTATCAGCAACTTTCATTATTTTTTCTAAAAGTATCAACAACTTCGATTTCAATTTACAATTGCTTTTTAAACAAAAAATTTATGTTATTACCAGGAGATTTATTCTCCAAATATTTTTAATAAATTTAAAACAAAGTTTCAAAGAGATATTAATAGAATTAATTCAAATTATTTGTAATAATTTTTTGAAAAAAATCAAAGATAAATAATAAATTACACATTATAAGAAATTTTTTTATTTTTACCACAGAGAAATAATTACCAGTTTCTTGAACGTTAAAAAGTATCCATTGAGACGGGTTCACATCTAAATCGTTAAGAGTGATCGAACGTTCTGCTTTCATCCATTTTGTAGGTTGAGTGTTATTGAAGTTTAATTGCTTCTCAGTCGTATAAGTGATTGGTATCCACCATAATGGTTCCCACTTATCAGATGTGATTCTTGTAACATTATTATCAAGCAGAAAGCGTTCCTGCGAGAAGCAGAAAGATGATGCATATACAATGCTATATAAATCGCTTATCAAACAATTCATTAATCAAATAACTGTATCTTATTAATAACATTATAATGTATAATATTATATATTTCATGATATTTTATGACAACAATATCTGTATTTAAAATAAAGAAAATATTGAATAGAGAATTATTACGAATAAGACACTTCTACTTATTAAGTAATAATTGTTATTAAAATAAGTCATGCTTTATTAAATCATCATTTCATGTGTATTTATTAGCATACCTGCGTCAGTTTAATACTACTATTGTTATAGTTTCGTAAGACAGTAACTACGGGAAAGCCGGTTTGCAGAGTCCAAGTATCCATTATTTTCTTAACAGTTATGTTTGGATCAAGTATTTTATCTTTATGAGCTTGTTTGGTTAAAGCGTACCATAAATCATTTGACTTAGCACTTTGATAGGCTCTAAAAACACATAGAATTGTCAATAATTATTTTTGAATTACATAAAAATATATTCACATTTGTAACATTGCTAAAATATTATTTACATTTATAACATTACAAAAATTTATTTACATTTATGACATGATATCAAAATATTACATGTAATTACATGTAATAATTACTTCGTAATATAATCATGTTGCAAAATGATATTGGAAGGGACAGTATTATTATTTTTAAATCGTTATTTATACGATTATAATAAAAATTTTCTAATTAATCTTCACTTACTTTTCATTTAAATAATTAGTCAGACCCTTCTTAAAAACATCTGTTGTGAGAAAATGATCCATCATCCTTATTACGACAGAACCTGAATAATTTCAATGTAATATAGTTACACAGCTCTATTTAGATATAATCATCCCGATTCATAGATCGTCATAAATTGTCACAAACCTTTTACGTAAGTAATGGTGTCAAAGATTTCATTGATTTCATCCGGATAATCGACTTCAATGGATATAGGATGGGAAGATTCTAAAGCATCTAAATTAAATATACTTTGAAATTCGTGAACAACGAATTGTTCCATTACCCTCCATTCCGGTTCCACCTGCATATTTCACGAATATGAAATTTACATTATGATATAATGTATAGAATAGGCTCAAACGAGTTCAAAGCATTTTACATGTTTTTAAATCAAGTTTTTAAAAACTCAATTTAAATCAATTTACCAACACATAGTGTTACAATTTGACATTTTGTACGAAATTTAATCCCGTATAGCTTACCGCATTCATGCCAATGTATTCCATGTAACTGGCGAAACCCTCATTTAACCAAAGATCAGACCACCAACTTGGAGTTACTAAATTCCCAAACCATTGATGCGAGAGCTCATGTGCTAATACTAGAGCTACTAGTTGCTTATTGTTATTGTCCGTTATACCGTCCTCCTCTTTCTGATACAACATCGAGGTCTCTCTAAATTGACAAAATAGCGTACTGGTGTTTCCATATCTCACATAGTTATTAGCGTCTTTTAATATATATTTATTAATATAATTTATAATTTATAATAATATTAGTATATATAAACTAATTTAAAAAATTTTATAAACCGCCTCTAATATTCCAAGTACTATACTTTTGCTTGCATGAATTATCTTCTAAAGTAAATTATTTGTATGCCAACGACATTTTCTGTCAAGTTCAAATCAAGTCTACCAGTAACAAAATACATTATTTTATTACTTGTTGTTTTAATGTTTGTCGATTAATCATGAGTTAAAATGTAGAAATTAATATATAATTATTCCATAAATTTATTTGCAAAAAAATTTTTGTATCCGTGTGATATAAGTTATTAAATGGTATTAATAAATGAATGGTATTAATCAATGAAAATAATCAAAGTAAAAATTTTACTATTAAATGAATACAATAATAGTTTATGCAGTCAACGAAATCATAGACCAAAATACTTTTTATCAAAAAATATCGATTTAGCAAAAAAACATGAAAATGTTTGCATAAAGTATAATAAAATAAAATTCCCAAATTGCCTTTATCTATTTAATATACATAAGTAATTATGTACATATTTAAAAATATCTATTTGGAAGAATAATGTATTGTGAAAAATATCTGAATAACTTTATTTTTACCGCAACGCGTTTTGAAATTCGTTCTGCGTTACTTAGAATATTGGGATTAATAATAATCTCTTACTAGTATAATAATAAAGGTAAATGGCAATTTCGTTAATTCGCTCTCGGTAATCTTACCTAGACGTTATCAACCCCCAATTTTCCATGGCGCCAGCTTCGAAGTCTGGTAACGCGACTATATCCATCTTTGGCAAAGGATACTTGATCTTGAAGTAGTCCTCAAAGAATTTAAGCATTTTCGGTCCAATACTCAAGCTATATTCTGATTGAGCAATAGCGTCATGGCGCGCCCAAACTCTAAAGTCGCCATCTTTTGATTTTCTTACATCAAAATCGAAAACTATGAAAGCCACCAAATACGTAGACATCGGTACCGATCGCTCATAGTGATCCCATACATACGTATCTAAATCGGGCCTGATTATTAAACAAAACAAAAGAATGTTTTAAAATGCTCTGTAATGCACTCACTTAAATAATTTGTCCTAAAATTAATATCTTTGAAAAAAATCACACAACCCTATTTTGAATTATCTGTTATTATATATGTTTTTACTTAAATGAAAAATTTTATCTTTGTGAACTTATTAATATCAAATTAAAAATTGTAAACTTTCCTCTTTTCAGCGCAATTTTTGTTTTTTCAATAACTGAATACTTTCGAAAATGACTGCTGATTAGTTTCAACACCTTCCCGTGGGATACCCTGTACATTTGACACACACACACACACACACACACACACACACACACACACACACACACACTTTTATAAATTTTATTTGTAAAATACTTAAATAATTATACAGTATTAATTGTGTTAAATTTTATATTCTAAATACTTTGCTCTGAATAAAAATCTAAATTATAAAGAGAGAACATGTTGAATCATAAATTTAAGTGCAATCGCAGAATTATTCCAAAAAATATGAATCAAATTTACAAAGAGACACAGCTGCGCTAATCCAAAAATATAATACAATTACTCACAGTGGTGTCGTTTTTTCTTTTTTGGGCATATTTGAAATAGATGTCATGTTTTGGGGACGCGCTATGTTGATCTGGAATTTGGCTTTCAAAGCTGGTTCGTCGAAACATGGGAAAGCACGGCGTGCATCCGTCGGTTCAAACTGAGTCGTAGCAATCCATCTATAATGCAGAAACTAAATACCTTTGGCAAACCTGTCGACAATTCCTGTCTGAAGGCGTATGTTAATCAAACATGTGACCACAACGAGATTATTCAAAGAATAATTGCTTTATTATCAAAACACTTTGCAATAATAAGTATGAAACAATGTTAGAAATCAAGGGATTTTTTTTATAGCGAAATAATTTTAAGAATATCTTTCTTCCATTTTTTTTCAGGAAATGAACTTAAATTTGTTTTTTAACATTCAAATTTATCTACTACGATTGTAATACAGTGCTTCTTCATTTAATTAAATGTGTTATATAAATTGAAGTTTTAGATTTTAAATTTTATTTTAATGATTGCAGTAGCAAATAAAACAGCTTTATATTGGAAATGCGCTTAAATTTAATAGTACATTTAATTAAATCAATTAAAGCACGAAGCAATAAATTTAAATTTATATCATCCACAAAGCTTTATGATATTGTTTACCTTGTCTGATTATCAACTGTATATGAGCTTCTGTAGAAACCGTGCAAGTTGTCGTTCAAATATCCAATGAACTTAAGATGTACGATATATTGTTTTCCTTTTTTCAACTTCGACGTTTTAATCACGTGAAATTGTCTATCGACATCTTTTTTCTGCTCTGTAATCCCGATTACCGTAGTCTTATTGTTGTTCTTATCGTTAGACGAGTACTCCCTGATACTCGTAAAGCCCTCATCAATCTTTATGTCGACGGCATGTAAGGTAACATTATCCGTATCGTTTGTCACGTTTATCAAAATTTTGATCTAAACAAATCGATAATACTTCTACTTTTATAAGACACCCTTTATAAATAAATTAATAATACGTTCAATTTCTTCAAATGTTAAGAAATTTTAATTATGTATATGAGTTAAGTTCTTGTTTTCTCAATCATCTTATTACAACGCCCAAGGATACATTACAATTATATACAGGATGTATCAAACATCTGGAAACAATCGAATATCTCGAAAGCAAAGAATTTTTGAAAAAAATGTTTAAGACAAAAGTTGTAGGGTTTAAAAAGATCTATTCACTGATCATATCCCCTTGACCTTGGGCGTCATCAAGGCCAGGTCAAGGTCACAATTTTTTTAAATGGAATCTCCTACTTTTCATTACATATTCTTGTAGCTCACCTCGAGAGCTTTTCAAAACACTATAATAAAATATTTTTTCATTAAGTATTTTTCGAGTTATAAGGCTCGAAAGTTACGTAAAAATAAATTTTTAGTGCAAAAATGAAAATAAGAGGAATAATCTCCAATAATCTTGATCTTGACAAATGTTATCCAGGAGCCTGAACAACATTTAAGAGATTTTAGCCGTCGGTCGCACAACTTGCGTAATGCTAATGTCGACTGTATTGTAACTTTCGAGCCTTATAACTCAAAAAATACTTAATGAAAAAATATTTTATTATAGTGTTTTGAAAAGCTCTCGAGGTAAGCTACAAGAATGTAATGAAAAGTAGGAGATTCCATTTAAAAAAATTGACGTGACCTTGACCTGGCCTTGGCAACGTCACCCAAGGTCAAGGGGATGTGATCAGTGAATAGATCTTTTTAAACTCTATAACTTTTGTCTGAAACATTTTTTCTCAAAAATGCTTTGCTTTCGAGATATTCGACCGTTTTCAAATTTTTGACACACCCTGTATATTGTACCTATACAGAATCCTATATATACACATATGCATAATTTTAATACCGTGACCGTAGAATTTTCTTTAAGGCCCTTGTCGCCATATTGGATCATGACGTCATAAGCGAGAAGTATGACATTTTAAAGTTTCTTGCATGCCATTTGTAAATAAAGAGAATTGGAGTAAACGAAATAATGAGATCTCTTTAAAAGACTTGAAAAACATGCTGAAGTTATTCTTATCCTTTCCAACAGTCAAATAGTTGCTTAAAAGGCGTAAAGTGCGTTTACCAACATTTACTTAATGTACAACTCATTTTTACTTCACGTGCCTCCTTTTACGATTGTTTACTGACTATCAGGAAGTAAGAATAGCTTCAGCCCATTTTTATAAGTGTTTTAAAGCGATCTTATTATTTTGTTTATTCAAATTCTCTTTACAAGTGGCATACAAGAAACTTCAATGTGTCATTTCTCGCTTAGGTATGATGTCACGAACCTATACGAGTCGCTGCGGCAACTAGTCACAAGCCTTTATATACGCAGTAAAATGTTCTCCTTCCCATGCAATTCGAAAAATGGTCTCGAATTAGAACAAACAATTCACAGAAAAGTAAAGAGAATAAAAGCAAAGTTTACAGGAATTAAGAATGGCACGCATAATGGAATGGGGTGATTTGCTTAATTTTTCATAAATTTAGAATTTAAATATGATAGTTACATTAATTACTAAAGGCACGTTCGTAAACACTATTCATGTATCGTTTTAACCTTTTTTAACATTCGGTGAACAACAAGGATAAAATAATATATGGAAGTACTTGGATGTTGTTCTCGAATGTAACTTGACCGCGCGTGTCTTTATAATAGTAATAATTCTTATGTATCGAATTAAGAATTAAATACATAGAAAAACATTATGTTTATAGTTCTCAATAAGAAGTAACATTCATAACGCAGTCTAACTGATTTGTCTATGGATAATTGTAACAAAGTCATAACGTAAAAAAAAATATTTCGATAAGTAACACTTTAGCATATATTTTGTCTAAATAAATAAAAAAGACGTAATAAAATAACCATGAAATAATCTGTACACATAAAAAATACAATTCTGCGAACTTTAAAAGATTACATTACAATAGAGGTCGAATAATACAATGCCACACTTTCAATTCTCACATGTAATTCTTTTAAAATTATTTTTTTCTTAAAAAGAGATACAGATACAAATATTTGTTAGAATGCGTTTGTCGATACGTTTAAACTATTTTTTATTTTTTATAAAAAAAATAAAACAAAAACATGAAACACGCCAATGAGAGTAGTACAATGCAGATCGCAACACGTAATAAATTTAACAACTATAAAATTTATTGCACGTTGTACTCTTATTGGCCTGTCTCATGTTTTTGTTAATTTTGAGAGTCTATTAATATTTTTATAATAAAAAATGTTACTAAATTAAAAAGCATTACCTCGCCGTGGAAGGTGAAGTTGCCTTCCCATATGAATGGTATCAGCCATAATTCGTACAACTCCGGCACAACGTCTCTCGGTAATCTAATATCTATATGTATTTTTGTTGGTATAATCGGAGAGAAAATATCCGTTTCCGTGCTTGTCGGAACTTGCTTCTCATGACAAGGTGCGAAATAATACACTAACAAACCGGTAGCGGTCAAGCTGAATAGAAAAAGAATGCCCAGCAAAGAGGCGCAATACCAAGGAATTGTACAGCCATTTTTGCGTTTAAACATAGTCGTATTCGTGTCCATCGTTGCCAGAACCCTACAAGACTGAGTCATATACATAACTGACAAAAAGGCAAAAAAAGTACACACGTACATTTTCAGTTTTATCGCTTCTGCAGTAGTGTGTAAACTGCACTAATATTGTCTAGCATAATTAAATACAAATGAGTTAACATTACTTTTTATTATCTACGCCACGTCATCAAATATTACTTACCTCGTTATATTTTTATATCTATTCTCATCGCGTATTATTTTTATATTTATTCCTATATATAATATTTTAGTGAGTCTTATAGCGAAATTATATAATTAATTTTTACTGTATTTTTTAAAAATTTACTTACTTTCGTAATCCTAATTACTGTCGTACAATTTCTATTGTCATACTTTTATACTTTAAATATTTTAAAAAATCTAATAAACAACAAAAAAATTAAAAAAATTTTATAAAGAAGTCTCAGTTTGTCAAAGATTTTATTATTGAAATCAAGATTGAATTTTCCGCGAAATATAAATACATTTATAAAATCGATGATTAACGTAGTATTTTATTTCTTGCATAAAATTTTAAGTATCAAATATAACATTTATAAAATGTTACCGTAGAAGATTGCACATACGCTGACGACTTCCATGAATAGTTTGTGTGTGTGTGTGTGTGTGTGTGTGTGTGTGTGTGTGTGTGTGTGTGTGTAAAGTAGTAAATATAGACTTCTACAAATGCAATAGTAATTAACGGTTGCTTTAAATGTACATACATATACATATAGACAATAAATCTGCATGTGTTTATATTGTATGCGTATTTATTATTATCTATGCCAACGAATAAATATAAGGAGGAAAATATAGAAAAGAAAGTGTCCCAATATGGACCCTAATATTCGCTTTCACCAATGTAGATTAATTTTAATCTCGGTTTAACTTACTCTTCATTTTTTTTTTCTAATATTTAGAATTAGTACCTTTTGCAATGAAATAGCATGCAAAAGTCGGTCAAAACAATTGCAAAGCTAATGCGATATCATGCGAACCTAATTGCTGTGGAAATGCTATACCAACAATACCTTCTTATGTAACGACACAGAAAGAGAGGACATACTCATTTAAACGTCAACTTTAATACTTTCAATACTCATTTTAAATCTGTAATATGCTTTAACTATCTATACAATGGCGGATTTAGACAGAGGTCCGGGCCTAGGAATGTTATTCTTTTAAGGGCACAGAAGCGCCATCCTTCTAGGGACCAAAATTAAAAATTTTTCTTTTTCCACACCAAGTTCTGAACTGGTGTACACTGATGCAGTAAGTTAGAGTGAGACAGGTATAAAGTCTGTTTTTTATTACTGCACTTTCTGAACTGGTATACACAGTGAAACAAATATACGTTTGTTTCACTTCAACTTATTGCACTGGTTCAGAGTGCAGCAATAAAAAACAGACCTATAGTTTGTTTCACTCTAACATACTGCATTAGTACAGAACTAGTACAGAACTGGTACAGAATTTTTCGAAAAAGAACAAACAGAAAGTTAATTTTATATTTGTGCAGGATTGCCAGTTGTGACGCATTTTTACCATAATATGATACTTTGAAATAGTGCTTTGGCGTACAAAAATAAAATCTTCATGTTTTGGTGAAAAAGTGATACCTTTCGATATCTTTTTTATTGTTTATTTGTCTAAAAGGAGTACCAAAAAGTATAGGGCCTACAGGGTGCAAAAATATGTAAATCCGCCACTGTATCTATACAAAATGTTTTTATGAAATGTTACTTAAATATTTATATAAAAAGTATTATTTTTTCAACATTCTTCTAGTATCAATATACAAAAAAATTAATATGAAATATATTTTTCATCAAATACGAATATCCATGTGGCGATTGCATCGTCACATTCCAGTTGCAAAAACCTTTAAGATATGAAAATTCACGAGAATTATATACAGTTAAATATACATATCTGCAAGTAGACTAAGCTTCGGTGAAGAAAAAAAAACGAAATCATACAGACAACGAGACAGATGGGTCGGTCACGCGAGACAAAGCGTAACGATTTTTCTCAACGTTTTATAAATAGCATTTATTTCATAGCTCATATTTTCTCAGACAAATAGAAAATGCAGTCGGTATACAATAACTACGCACCGAGTTAAGAGACATGGTAGTGTCTCGACGTTAAGAGGAATGATATCATAGCATTTTAATAACAATAAACGTCATCAAGTATAATCACTATTGAGAAAAAAAATTGTTCATTGGACTCAATTAATTTAGTGATTTTGATTTCTTTCGTTGAAAAATATATGTAAGTCAAATATAACATGTTTAATTTAAATACGTACATTCTTCATCGGAATAAAATAAAAATAAACTAAATTAATTTAGTCAAATAAACAATTTTTTTCTCAGTGTACAGACTGCATGGACAAGCAAACGAAATTCAAAACGTTGCTCGATTTTAAAAGCTTAAATTTATAAAGCCTTTTCGAATAATCGTAAGAGATCAAACAGGAAGATAGATTTTCTCCGAAAGAAAGATCGCTACTGATCGCGAGATGACAACTGAGCTTTCGTCTGCGAGACTTCGACGTGAAAGTATATGACAATACAAAATAAATTTACTTGATCTTGAAGTGAATAAACAGATGATCAACCTTTTCAAAAGCTATCCGACATATCCTAACTTGTATTAAATAATCTAAATTCATTTTATTTTAAAACAAATATTATTATTTACATGAATTTGTTAAAATGTTTAAAACAGATACAAGGAAAATGATAAAATCAATGATAAAGATACCTCACGTTTTAACTTGCCTATTTTCAAGGTTAGCAAGTAACGCGTTACTTGTAACGCTGTTACTTTATTGATTGTTATCTTGTTGTAATAGCAATTTGGTAATGACATTGTGAATTTTTTATGACGGTAATGCTAATATCAGAGTTAGAAAAGTCAATCGTTATACTTGTAATGGGTTAAAAAAGTCATTCATTACTGAAAAAAAAATAATTCCTAATTTGTAACGCTTTACTTTTTACTCATTACGCTTTACTCGTTACTTTTTTCAGTAAGCGTAATGGTAATGGTGACAAATTACTTTCCAAAGTGACTTTTCTAACCTTAGCACAATCTTAGTGTTTAATTAGTTAGCGTTGCCGTCGTAAAAAATTGCAACATCGGTATCAAATTGTTTACTATAAAAAGTAACGACAAAGTAACTGAAAAGTAACATTTGCCAACCCTACCTATTTTATATAAATATATATCGTTTAAATTTGAAAATTGTGAAATTATTTGGCTCCTAATCGACAAAATTTTCGTACGCATTAAGATAAAAATAACAGTTTTCACAAAATTATTGTATCAAGAAAACTTTTTGTTCTGCTTATACCAGATAAAAACAATCATTAAAAGTAATTTTACATTCTAAACGATTCGAGTGAGCGTGTCAAAGAAACGTGAATGTGGAATTAAATTGATGATTCTCGAATTTGTGATTTATCATGAAGTGAATCATTTAAATTACTTAAATCATGAATTTTTAGGCATAAATCTTTGATCATTAAATAATAGATACTAAATTAAGTAATATATATTAAATGATATGCATATTTGTGGTAATCACGCAAGATAAATTATAATCTTAAATGTAATTGCCTTATTTGTATTTTAATTACGAAGCGCTATGCTGAGTTTAGCAAACACAAATCAAATAATATTTGACCACGTGTTTTTTATTTGCAGACAATTCACTTTTTACTGGGGAATTATTTCATTATCACTTACGTAAATTTGTTGCACTTATATGTTTCCACGTTACAAACATTTGCGAAGCAATCAGCTACATTGACTTTTTTGCATCCTAAAAGAGATATAACTGTCTTAGATAGTTTGAGAAATTTGAGATGGCATTGCAATTTCGACCATCACACTAATTGTGAGCATCCGTTCGACGGTTCGCGCGCAACTGTCAAGAGACAGAGCGCGACAACTTTGTCGTTTTCTCTACTGTAAGAGGAAACAACGTAGTTGCGCAATATTTTGAATTCAGGTTTAGACTAGGTCGTTCATATAATGATATTGTATTTTAAAAAAAAATCATATTTCTCATTTTTAACACAAATTGAAATTTGATTTAACACAAAATGAAATTTGTTCTTCAAATAAAAAATCTAATTGATTTTTTTAATGAATTTGAGAAATTAACTTAACATTCAACTCTCTTACTCTTAAACAAATTGGTCAGCTTTTTTATGTTGAGTCTTTCATAAAATAAAGATATCGTTATATTTATTATTTCTAATTTAGAATATATAATATGATATATTTATGAATGAATTTGAAGTTTACGTGCTACAATTTACTTTGCAAAAAGATATTTCATTTCAGCACTTAATGACAAATTTCATATGTATAGAAGAAATAACTGATATTTATTATTACATCACTTAACAAAAATTTCTAATAATAATATCTTATAAAAATATAGAAATGCAAAATGCAAAAGATATAAAAATTATTATAAGCTCATGATTCTAAAAGCACAATTTATATTATAATAACACATCTTACTTTATAATTACAAAACCTTATTATTAAATTAAGTTTGTAGCTCATACATTATGTTGATATTAAAATCTCAACGTTCTACTAAATAATTTAATATTTCATAAGAAAGATTACTCTTTAATTTCGTATCATGCAGTAAAAAACATTTTTTATGATCATATTTTTTATGATATCTGTGTTCTTTTATGTAATAATTTGCTTCCTTTTAAGAGCTAAGAACAATGAATTCTATTTTTTATGCAACGCTTTCGCTATACTTAATGCAAAAAGCTGTACTTTTAATCGATCTTTAACAATAAATGAGTAAAATGACATAGTAAAATATTAAAAAATAAAAAATAATATAAATGGGAATAAAATATAAATGAAATATAAATAATAATGTAATATCCGTTTTATTAAAAGATTTAATTCATCCTATTATCTAATTTTTACTTTTTATT